ACTCTATATAAGTTGGATGTATTATCCTTGTTGCAGATATTGATGGCTTAATTACTCAGGCTTGCTGACGGGTAATTTTGAGAGTGTGTTGACCTTTTACAATGATAACCGCATGGCTGATGCCATTATATTGGCCATAGCAGGTGGACAAGAACTCTTGGCTCAGACCAGAAAAAATACTTCGCAAAATCCCAAGCAAATTACCAGGGTATGTTATTTTAAAAATAAATAAACAACAACATTTATCTTTCTCAATATAAAAGCCATACATTCTTATTATAATAATGTAATGCAGAAAATAGTAAAGATTTGAAAAGCCATACATAAATTCCTTGACCTAGAAATAAGTTGTTGTCAATTTGCATGATTATTCTAGTTTTAGTGTTCCATATATAATTTAAAATTAAAATATTTTCATATTAGAAAAGTTAACAGAAAATTTTAAAGGTAAAAATTTTAGCACTCTCTAATTCTGCCAATAGATTGATGCATATCTTTATCTCTTTCTCTATATTGTAGAATTTTTTATTAACAGATCAGGATCATATATGTATATATATGTGTGTGTGTGTTCATTTATAGGTTTGTCACTTAGACCAGATCATGTCTTCTGTTTTTGTTTTGTTTTGTTTTTGGGTGTTTTTTTTTGAGAGCACAGGTCTCACTCTGTTGCCTGGGCTAGAGTGCCGTCCATCAGCCGTCACAGAAACCTCCAACCTGGGCTCAAGCAATCCTTCTGCCTCAGCCTCCCGAGTAGCTGGGACTACAGGCATGCGCCATCATGGCTGCTAATTTTTCTATATATATTAGTTGGCCAATTTATTTCTTTCTATTTTTAAGTAGAGATGGGGTTTTTACTCTTGCTCAGGCTGGTTTCGAACTCAAACGATCCACCCACCTCAGCTCCCAGAGTGCTAGGATTACAGGGTTGCCCGGCCTATGTCTCTGTTAAATGTTCTGATAGCACCCATGTTGCTCTGTAGAAATGTGCCCTTATGAGACATATAAGTATTTAGAAGTTTATCTTCTAGCACTTTATGAATATGTTGGTGTTTTTTTTTTTAGAAAAAAATAATACCGTTTATGATGTCATTTGGTTAAAAAATATACTTCATTTTGTGTGGCTTTATATGGCATGAAAAGCTGTGATAGTATTTCAAAGATACGTTTGGTTCTCCAGAATTAATTTTATTAATACATGAAGACTTAATTCTCCTTTGTTTTCCTTTCCCAAGCTTATCACTGCAGTGGTGATGAAGAACTTGAAAGAAGATCGTTGAGTCTTGGATCTTAAAAATTGGAGAGAGGCTTTAGCTGCAGTATTGACTTACGCTAACCGGATGAATTTTCAGCCCTTTGTGGTAAAGAAATGAGCTTTTATGTTTAACTGATGAGACATATATGGCATGGCGTGTTATAAATAAATTAATGCAATTTTATTAGAATGTTTTATAAACATAAGAAAAAGAAGTTCTTATTTGGATGTTTTTCTCAGAATTATTTAAATGCATTCTTCAGCCGGCACAATCGCTCACGCTCTAATCCTGCACTTTGGGAGGCCAAGGTGGGAGGATTGCTTAAGGTAAGGAGTTCGAGACCAGCCTGAGCAAGAGCGAGACCGCCTCTCTACAAAAAAATAGAAAATTAGCCAGGCATGTGGTTGACTGTAGTCCCAGCTACTCGGGAGGCTGAGCAAGAGAATTGCTTGCCCAGGAGTGGGTTGCTGTGAGCTATGATGACACTATGCTCTAGCCCACGTGACAGAGTGAGACCTTATCCAAAAAAAAAAAAACAAACTTTCTTCTCCATACTCCTCATTTTTAATAAAAATACCTGTTTAGTGATTTTGGTTTCGAAGACAGAGTTGGAATCTGTCTTGGCATGACCTAGGAACTATTACTTTCTAGACTCAGTTATTCATCTGTAAAATGCACATGAGAAACTCTACTTATAGATAACTCTCACTTAGCTATGATAAAATTAATAATTATAACATTTGAATAGAAATTTATTACGGGCCATGGTAAAGTGGCGCTAAGGAATAAATAACTATTGCAAGAAAAGAACTAGGGCTGTGATACAAGAGAAAAAACATTTGCTCCTTGAAAGTATTATGAGAATACCAAATTATGAGGGATTAACTGATTTTCATTAATTTATAGTAGACTTAGCTATGATTGATAAATCTATTCAAGTGTTCTTTTTTTTTTTTTTTGAGCAGAGTCTCGCTTTGTTGCCCAGCGCTAGCGTGATGCCATGGGTCAGCTCGCTCACAGCAACCTCAAATCTGGGTCAAACGTCCTTCTGCCTCAGCCTCCTTAGCTGGGACTACGGCATGGCCACATGCCCGGCTCATTTTTTTTATCTATATTATGGCCAATTAATTTTTTTCTACTTATAGTAGAGACGGGTCTCGCTCTTGCTCAGGCTTGGTCTCGAACTCCTGACCTCAAGCAATCCGCCGCTCGGCCTCCAGAGATGCTAGGCTGACAGGCGTGAGCCATCCAATGTGTCTTTAGGGTTTTTCTGTTCAAATACTGTTTCATTATTGCTTTTTTCCAAATTAACAGTCAGTTCAATAGCTGCATATAGAGTCTTGTGAAGTCCTTCATTATGTACAATGTGTCACCCACTTGCATTCATTAACAAACACTTACCGAGCCTTTAAAGGGACTGTGTTTCTCCCTGCTGCTCATTGGTTATGAAGTGCAAGCTATACCTTCTGAAAGGTTGCCGGGCGGCATGCACGCAGTGCTGGGTGTGATTGAATCTGTTTTCCTCTTGTGTGCAGATCTGCTGGGAAGCAGGCTTGAGAGAGAGGGAGACAGCCTCCTGCAGTCCCAGGCCTGCCTCTGCTACATCTGTGCGGAACGTGGAGAGGCTGGTTGCGTGCTGGGCGAAAGCCCAGGACCGAAGCCACCCCTTGTCCTGCAGGTCGGGATCTCTGCGCAAAGGCGGTGCTCTTTAGTTTGTCTTTTACCCTTCTTACGATCGAGCTATATGATTTCGGATAGTATTTCCCTTGTCTCTCTGGAAAGAGGTTTTCTCATGTAGGGTCATTGCTAGGAAGGTCCCTCTGTTGAAACTAAAATCACATAAGAAATCAGGGTTTTCCTTCTAAGTCCTTCTGAGAAAATACACTTGTTTCACACTTCGGGATTCGTGATTCATTACTAAAGGCTATTAGGTAGGATGATTTTTATGCTTTCCTGCCATCGTGAGGATCGGCATGGAAGCAGCAGCGGGAGAATCTCGAGTGGCGATAGTAAAGCCTGTGTGGGGCTCACGGGCCTTGTGGTCTCCTGACCCAGCGCTATTTTTACGGATGGATGGGACGGTATTGCGGTCTCGTCTCCCCTCCTGCCCGGACAAGTTTCAGCCCCAGACAGCTGCTCGTCACTTTCCCTTTGGCATGGCCTGTGCAGCTCACTAGACCAGTGCCTGGTAGGTTTCAGGGTGTTGAAGAGAAGGTAGGAACTGATGCCCGGAAGGTAGGAACCTTCCGGATTAAGACCCCCCCTTCTTTTTTTTTTTTTTTTTTGTGCCATCAGTAAGAAATTTATTTGGTTTTTAAAGTCAAATGCTAGTATTGTCCAAGAAAAAAATATGAAAAAGACAAAGCTTGATTATCGGGAATAATTGGGCCTTGAAAGATTAGACACTATGGGCCTGAAACACTGGAAATCACACTGATTTGTCACCAGTGGCCCTGGGGAAAAGAGAGAGGGATGCTATTAGAGGTCACCCCAAGTTTACTGCAACTTAAGTCATGAAAAGTAGGGCATTATTTTCAGGCTATCACAATTTTCCACCCTACCTGTGTTTATGCCTGTAGCACAGAATTCCTAAACTGTGTATTGAGTTGGTCCAGGTAACAAGAAGTAAGTAGTAGATATTTCGGGAACAGGAGCAATTTATTGTACTGAACCTGAATAAACATAAAGTCCAAGTGACCTGCCTAAAAGTTTAACTTAAAAAAAAAAATTCTCCTTTAAAAAGAGGATGCTGGACACAGTGGTTCACGCCTGTAATCCCAACACTTTTAGGAGGCCGAGGCGGGAGGATCCCTTGAGGCCAGGTATTCCAGATCAGCTTGGGCAAGATAGCGAGACTTCTGTCTCTACAAAAAAACTAAAAAAAAAACAAACCAAAGAAACAAATAGATAAAATAAAAAGAGGAAATCATATTGCAGTTTGCAGTGTTATTCTTCCTAAGCAGGGGTTTGTTTATCATCCTACAATGTTGATGTCAACGTCAATAGCAGTAAAAATGCTTTGACTTTGGAAACCTTGAAGGCCGTTTTGGACTCCCTTAATCGTGTGATTTTTTTTTTAGCCTCTCATCATTCTTTGGAAATGACTGAAGTTTCTAGAGCATTACAGGGTGGTTGCGCACATGGTACAGGTTGGATATCTAGGCACAGGTTGGAGATCAGTGCTGCTTTAATTGAGACAGACCATGTCACAGCCTCGCTGCTTAGTGGCCATGTGTCTTTCTAACTCCTTTAGAGTTTTCATATTTAACTTTACTGTCAGTCTACACTTGTTAATGCTGTAACTCTTTTAGGTTTGCAAGAGATTAATGTGAAAGTTTTACTGCATGCCTGGTAGCAAAAAAAAAAAAAAATGAGAAAATAGGATCTGGTTGTCAGAATACTTCTAAAAACAGTTCTTTCCATAGTGAGTACCCGAAGAAATGTCTTTAAAAATTTGTTATTTTATCTCAAGCAAAGTAGAAGAGAACGTGTTTGTGTTGAGGTTAGTTTTGTGGTTGAACAGCAGAGTGGGATGATATCTTAGCAGTAGAAATCCGTGTGAACGAAACTGGAACTGTCGAAGCCAGCATTGCACTGGCTTTATGTTTTTCCTAAACATGCTATCCTTGATGTGAACTGTTGTGGATTTTTGCCAATAAGAAAGGAGTAAGAGGTGAATGTTTGCTACTGTATGCCCTGCAATGGAATTCCATTTAGTATGTGGAGTTGTTATTTTTGTTTCAGATTGCTTTGGCCTTGAACAAAGCGGATGGACCTGACGTGGTAAGGAAGGCTTTTCCTAACAGCCGTCTCCTAAAATTTTAGTTAGGTCATAACAGAGAAGGAAATGTAACTTACGAAATTTGTTTTATGCTTCATGGTGTAAAAATAAATGCCGATCGTAGGTATTTTCATAAGTTAATAATTCTCATCTTCAGATAGCATAGCTTTAGCTAGCTGGGCAGTTCTTTCCTTTGGCCTACGTATTTGAATTTTGTAAAAGAGGAAAAAACCAGAATCCATGACTACTCAGATACTTAAGGCCAAGATCTTTTTTGCTGCAGGACATTTGGCAGGGAAGAAAGGAGAGGTGTTAGCGATTATTACTCTTTGCTTTTCCTCTAATGGTGTTTCACAGTAAATTTACTCAGTGTTGCTTCTTATGATTAAACTAGCTCTGAATGTTGATGGTTGGGTCTTTTGTCTTCCTTGTTCACTAATGACCTCTTAATGCCACATTCTTCCACTTCCTCTGTGATTGTTTTGTGTACCAAAGGCTCTTAAAGATTCTGACCAAGTAGCCCAGAGTGATGGGGAGGACAGCCATGCTGCTGAAGAGCAGCTCTTGGGAGAGGTACTTACTTTTTTTCATGTTATGTTGGACAAATTTGTGATATTTGTGTGTCTCACATTGAGATAAAGGAAAATTTTCTCAACTACTGTTGCAAAATAAAGTTGGAACGAATTGTTTTCTCAGAGATGTTTAGGGCAGGAAGCTACCCATACTGACAAAAGTACCATCTCCCAACTCCAGCCTCACTTCCGGATTACCTGGTTTAACATTAATAGTCGATGTCACGTAACTGGGTCAGATGGCCATCAAGATGTCACAGTGAAAAGAGATTTTATTCAGGAATCCACACTGCATTGCACGTCTAAGTTTTTTCTTAGCACATTACTATATTGGGCCCCACTGTCAGTAACACAGGCTTCTGAATTAGTCCTGAACTTGAAGTCCAAGTACAGATTATTTCACTAAAACTAAACCGTGTCATGATTTACTGTAAATGTGTCCTTGGTTGTGGTTCATAATTTTTGTAACTAATTAAAAAGAGTCCTTGAACACAGAGTTGTATCATTAATTTTTTTCCTTTTAATTTTCTGTTTTGTTTTTTTTTTTACCGATTAATAAATCCATACTTTTCTTGCTTTCTAATTTTATTTAATCTTGGAAAATTAATCAAGAAATTCTTATTTCTCATCTCATCTTTGACTTTTTCATTGTTCTTTATGATATGGGAATATCCTGACTATGGAGTATTTTCTATAATGTTTTAAGTATAATCTTATAATTTTTTTATTCTTAAATCTTTTAAATCGTACCATCTTTTTCTATAATCTGTAATCTTTATAATTTATAAATTATAAAAATCAATAAATATAGACTATTACAATAATTTTAGACTATTTAGTCAATAAATTTAGACTATTACAAGATGATTATAAAAATCATTTTCCTTAGAAGTAGATCTCCTAGAGTTTAATTAACATGGGAATAAAGGATGTGGATAAAATCTTGCTAAAAATTAGAATTAATTTTGGGAATATTTGGACAGAATTGTAGGATACATAAAGAAATATACTTTTATGTACAACTAGATTAACTATGTATTATCAAATAGAAGACCATTTGGGAGTACACTTATAAATAATAGGTAAGAATAATATGTATTTAGCAAAATAGTAGTCATTGATCTGTACTTTGATCACTTGAAAAAATTATGTTTAAGGAGGTAAAATCTCCTTTATCTTGATGATACTATTTGTTTATCAAACATTAATAGCTTGCATATGGAAGATACTCAATACATAATGAATTGTGCATTTTTTGGCCTTATGTCTATTTCAAAAGTCCATATTTATTAATTGTTTTTAGAAAAAAATTTGAAATATAATTAAAAACAAAGAGTATTTTGCAACTTTGTTAATGATATAATCAGATCAGTATCTCTGATTTATTCCTTAATGTGAATAACTTAAATTCTCAATATTTTTGAATTTGTGTTCTAAAATGCTTATCTTTAGATGGAGAAAGGGAATTAGAGTTATAGATATTCTCCTCTATTAGTCAACATTAATTAATTAAGCTTTATTTACAAATGATGCAATGCTGTACTCTGCCCTAAAATTACCCAGTTCCAAAATGGGTAATTTTGACCTCGAATATTCGGCATTTACATTCAGAAGTGTAGGTAACACAAGCACATAAGAAAGATATTATATCTCATATAAGAGAGTTACGTTTTTCTCCAAAAATTTCTCTCTAATCTCTTTGATATATTTTTGTCTTCTTTGGAGTTTTTATGCATGGAAGAGAAAGCATTTAAAGTTATTTGCTGGCAAAGTGCCTCCATTATATTTCTTCTAAAGAAAGAAAATATTGAATTTATTTTTAATCAGTCTTTCAGGTAGTCTCAGAAATTTATAACAAAACTATATATACTTTTAGCAGACTGATCTGTTCTTGTTCCAGGTATGACTACTTTGAGAGAACACAAAATGTATAATTGGAGTATATTCATAATAAATAGTCTATTTATATGGCTTTTATTCTGTGGACAACAAATAATTTTTTACCTGATTTTTTTCCATGATTCAGTTAGAAGAAAACATTTCACAAATCAAATCTAGTAGACAGGAATTATTAGATGTGTAGAAATAAGATTGTTTTAAAATGTAAATACAGTATAATTTTAAAATCTGTATTATGCATGTTTCAAGCCACTCATAGTTAAGGTATATAAGAAAACAAAGATTCTTCAGCTTTGATAAAAAACTTCTGAGTTGCCAATAATGAGTATGTACACTTTAGTTTGATAGTATTCCTGATGGCTTTGGATTTTATGTATGATTGCACGTGAGGAGTTATTAGGGATACTTACGCAAGTCCTGGATCTTAGTGTGAACTTAGATCTGAGAACTTTTCTAAAATAACTTGGCATGCAGCTAATTAGTAGGTGAATAATCATAAATAAATCTTGTTGGTAAATTATTCCACAGTTTCATTGTTGCTAAACTGCCACTTTTTCCATCTCTTTAGCGCATTAAAGAAGAAAAACAAGAATCTGAATTTCTGCCACCAGCTAGAGGAACATTTAATATTTCCATCAGTGGGGGTAAGTACTTGTTGGTTTTGATTTTTTTTTTTAAGAGCTCTGTTTTTTTTGTTGGTTTTGATTTCTAATTGTTTTTTTTTTTTTTCACCATTTGAAAACAATCTGTGATTTTAATGTAGAAATGTTTTGTCAGAGGTGTAGAGGGTTAAGAAATAATTCAGTTTTCATTTAGTACAGTGTATATTATTAGTGCCTCGGGAAGGGTGGTGTGTTCAGATACCCAACTGATTTTTAATAATTCAGTTTAAGCAGTCTGGAAAATGTGCTATATTACATGCATCTCCATATATTTCTATAGATCTCTTCCATAAACACCAACAGCTTGTGTTAGAAATTAATCTACCAGTAATCAGAAATTAGTATTACGTTCTCTGTGTGTGTATACAAATTGATATGTGTAGTATTTTGTTGTTTCTGGTAACAAAAAACTCTATATAAGTTGGATGTATTATTCCTTGTTGCAGATATTGATGGCTTAATTACTCAGGCTTTGCTGACGGGTAATTTTGAGAGTGCTGTTGACCTTTGTTTACATGATAACCGCATGGCTGATGCCATTATATTGGCCATAGCAGGTGGACAAGAACTCTTGGCTCAGACCCAGAAAAAATACTTCGCAAAATCCCAAAGCAAAATTACCAGGGTATGTTATTTTAAAAATAAATAAACAACAACATTTATCTTTCTCAATATAAAAGCCATACATTCTTATTATAGATAATTGTAATGCAGAAAATAGTAAAGAATTTGAAAAGCCATACATAATTCCTTGACCTAGAAATAGTTGTTGTCAATTTGGCATGATTATTCTAGTTTTAGTTGTTTCCATATATAATTTTAAAAATTAAAAATATTTTCATATTAGAAAAGTTTAACAAAATTTTAAAGGTAAAAATTTTAGCACTCTCTAATTCTGCCAATAGATTGATGCATATCTTTATCTCTTTCTATATATTTGTAGAATTTTTTAATTAACAGAATCAGGATCATATATGTATATATATGTGTGTGTGTGGTTTCATTTATAGGTATTGTCACTTAGAACAGATCATGTCTTCTGTTTTTGTTTTTGTTTTTGTTTTTTGGGTGTTTTTTTTTTGAGACAGAGTCTCACTCTGTTGCCTGGGCTAGAGTGCCGTCCATCAGCCTAGCTCACAGAAACCTCCAACTCCTGGGCTCAAGCAATCCTTCTGCCTCAGCCTCCCGAGTAGCTGGGACTACAGGCATGCGCCATCATGGCTGGCTAATTTTTTCTATATATATTAGTTGGCCAATTTATTTCTTTCTATTTTTAGTAGAGATGGGGTCTCGCTCTTGCTCAGGCTGGTTTCGAACTCAAACGATCCACCCACCTCAGCCTCCCGGAGTGCTAGGATTACATTGTGTGCCCGGCCTATGTCCTCTGTTAAATGTTCTGATAGCACCCCATGTTGCTCTGTAGAAATGTTGCCCTATAGAGACATATAAGATTTCAGAAGTTTTATCTTCTCAGCACTTTATGAAATATGTTGGTGATTTTTTTTTTGAGAAAAAATAATACCGTTTATGATGTCATTTGGTTCAAAAATATACTTCATTTTGCTGTGGCTTTATATGGCATGAAATGCTGTGAATAGTAGTTTTCAAAGATACGTTTGGTTCTCCAGAATTAATTTTTATTAATACACTGAAGACTTAATTCTCCCTTTGTTTTCCTTTCCCAAGCTTATCACTGCAGTGGTGATGAAGAACTGGAAAGAGATCGTTGAGTCTTGTGATCTTAAAAATTGGAGAGAGGCTTTAGCTGCAGTATTGACTTACGCTAAACCGGATGAATTTTCAGCCCTTTGTGGTAAGAAATGAGCTTTATGTTTAACTAGATGACATATATGGCATGGCGTGTTATAAATAAAATTAATGGCAATTTTATTAGAACGTTTTATAAACATAAGAAAAAGAAGTTCTTATTTGGATGTTTTTCTCAGAATTATTAAATGCATTTTCAGCCCGGCACAATCGCTCACGCCTCTAATCCTAGCACTTTGGGAGGCCAAGGTGGGAGGATTGCTTAAGGTAAGGAGTTCGAGACCAGCCTGAGCAAGAGCGAGACCCCATCTCTACAAAAAAATAGAAAAATTAGCCAGGCATGGTGGTATGTACCTGTAAGTCCCAGCTACTTGGGAGGCAGAGGCAAGAGAATTGCTTGAGCCCAGGAGTTGGAGGTTGCTGTGAGCTATCATGACACTGTGCTCTAGCCCACGTGACAGAGTGAGACCTTATCTCAAAAAAAAAAAAAAACATTTCTTTTCCATACCTCCTCATTTTTAATAAAAATACTGTTTAGTGATTTTGGTTTCAGACAGACCAGAGTTGGAATCTGTCTTGGCATAACCTAGGAACTATTACTTTCTAAGACTCAGCTTATTCATCTGTAAAATGGCACATGAGAAACTCTTACTTAATAGATAACTCTCACTTAGCTATGATAAAATTAATAATTATAACATTTGAATAGAAATTTATTACGGGCCATGGCTAAAGTGGCAGCTAAGGAATAAATAACTATTTGCAAGAAAAGAAACTTAGGGCTGCTGATACAAGAGAAAACAACTATTTGCTACCTTGAAAGTATTATGAGAATACCAAAATTATGAGGGATTAACTGTATTTTCATAAATAATTTATAGTAGACTTAGCTATGATTGATAAATCTATTCCAAGTGTATCTTTTTTTTTTTTTTTTTTGAGGCAGAGTCTCGCTTTGTTGCCCAGGCTAGCGTGAGAGTGCCATGGCGTCAGCCTCGCTCACAGCAACCTCAAACTCCTGGCTCAAACGATCCTTCTGCCTCAGCCTCCTAGTAGCTGGGACTAACAGGCATGCGCCACCATGCCGGCTCATTTTTTTAGTCTATATTAGTTGGCCAATTAATTTTTTTCTACTTATAGTAGAGACGGGGGTCTCGCTCTTGCTCAGGCTGGTCTCGAACTCCTGACCTCAAGCAATCCGCCCGCCTCGGCCTCCCAGAGTGCTAGGCTGACAGGCGTGAGCCATCCAAATGTGTCTTTAGGGTTTTTCTGTTCAAATACTGTTTCATTTATTGCTTTTTTCCTAATTAAACAGAAATCAGTTCAATAGCTGCATATAGAGTCTTGTGAAGTCCTTCATTATGTACAATGTGTCACCCACTTGCATTCATTTAACAAACACTTACCGAGCCTTTAAAGGGACTGTGTTTCTCCCTGCTGCTCATTGGTTATGAAGTGCAAGCTATACCTCTGAAAGGTTGCCGAGGCGCGCATGCACGCAGTGCCCTGGGTGTGATTGATTCTGTTTTCCTCTTGTGTGAGATCTGCTGGGAAGCAGGCTTGAGAGAGAGGAGACAGCCTCCTGCAGTCCCAGGCCTGCCTCTGCTACATCTGTGCCGGGAACGTGGAGAGGCTGGTTGCGTGCTGGGCGAAAGCCCAGGACCGAAGCCACCCCTTGTCCCTGCAGGTCGGGATCTCTGCGGCAAAGGCGGCTTGCTCTTTAGTGTTGTCTTTTACCTTCTTACGATCGAGCTAATAGATTTCGGCGTAGTATTTCCCTTGTCTCTCTGGAAAGAGGTTTTTCTCAGTAGGGTCATTGCTAGGAAGGTCCCTCTGTTGAAACGAAAAATCACGTAAGAAATCAGGGTTTTCCTTCTAAGTCCTCTGAGAGAAAATACACTTGTTTCACACTTCGGGATTCGTGTACTTACTAAAGGCATATAGGTAGGATGATTTTTTTGCTTTCCTGCCATCGTTGAGCGAGTCGGCATGGAAGAGCAGCGGGAGAACTCTCGAGTGGCGATAGTAAGCCTGTGTGGGGCTCACGGGCCTTGTGGTCTCCTGACCGCAGCGCTATTTTTACGGGATGGATGGGACGGTATTGTCGGTCATCGTTCTCCCCTCCTGCCCGGACACAGTTTCAGCGCCCAGACAGCTGCTCGTCACTTTCCCTTTGGACCTTTGCCTGTCGCAGCTCACTAGACCAGTGCCTGGTAGCTTCAGGGTGTTGAAGAGAAGGTAGGAACCTATGCCCGGAAGGTAGGACCTGTCCGTGATTTAGAGCCCCCCCCTTCTTTTTTTTTTTTTTGTGTGCCATCAGTAAGAAATTTATTTGTTTTTAAAGTCCAAATGCTATATTGTCCAGAAAAAAAAATGAACAGGTTATATATAGCAGTTATGAAGTTGACTGCTGAAATTTGTTCCCTGAGACTTTGGACTCTTACATAAGAGTCCAAAGTCAGGAATGTCTCTTACTTTACACCCTTGAATTTATATTAAAAGTTCACATAGAAAAAAAGAAAACTGCCAGGCATAATTTCTATAATTTTTTTTTTTTTTTAAACAGAGTCTCACTCTGTCGCCCGGGCTAGAGTGCTGTGGCGTCAGCCTCGCTCACAGCGACCTCAGACTCCTGGGCTCAAGCGATCCTCCTCCCTCAGCCTCCCGAGTAGCTGGACTACAGGCATTTCCACCTGCCCGGCTCATTTTTCTATATATTTTTAGTTGTCCAGTTCATTTCTTTCTATTTTTAGTAGAGACGGGGTCTCGCTCTTGCTCAGGCTGGTTTGGAACTCCTGACTTGAGCAATCCGCGCCTCGGCTTCCTAGCGTGCTAGGATGACAGGCGTGAGCCACCGCGCCCGGCCTAGGACCTAATTTCTGTCCCCTAATTTCCCAGCCAAATCATAGGCTTAGGTACCTTTGGACCCTATGGAAAAGAAAAGAAAACAAAACATCTGACGATTCGGAATACCAATAGTAGGTAGAGGAGAAAAAGCATATTTTTGAGAATGAGCTATTTAAATGGACCTAAAGTCTAAGCGCGCTCTCTGCGGATGCTGCACGCCAGCTGCGTGTCTTTAGGCATGATGGTGACACGCTAGGCAGGAGACCCCCTCCTCCCTTCCTAGTTTGTTAGTTACCGCCGTGGTGGCCATGCTGTTCTAAGAGGCATGGCAGCAGGTACTGTGCTTTCAGTGGGTTCTGGAAACCTTAGTCCCTCTTTGTCTCGTCCTGCTTCCCCTGGTACGCACGGTCTTGGCGTCTCTGTCTGTCTCCCCTCACTCTTCCCTTCCCTTTGCCCACTCAGGATCTGATCGAGAAAGTCGTCATCCCTGCGAAGGCGGTGCAGCTCACCAGGCCGCGGACGGGACGCCGTGGGGCGCTGCTGGCCGAGAAGTTGAGCCAGTACGCAGCCTGCTGGCGGCCAGGGCAGCATCGCCGCCGCCCTGGCGTTTCTGCCGACAACACCAACCAGGTGATGAGGGGTAGCCTTTCTCTCTTTTTTTTTTTTAACATTTTTTTTTGAGACAGAGTCTCGCTTTGTTGCCCGGGCTAGAGTGAGTGCCATGGCGTCAGCCTCGCTCACAGCAACCTCAGAGTCCCGAGTAGCTGGGATCACAGCTACTGTTGTATGATATATTAATGCAATATATATTATTGTATTATATTGCCATCTATCGCAGTAGATTACTATTATATATAGCATCAAGAACAAAAAGCGGTCTCTTGAGTGATCTGATTACTTTAAGAAAATCAACATATTGTCATACAGCTGGGTGAACTCTAACAGTTTGCTTTGCTTTTCTCCATTGCTTCTTACAGCCAAATATTGTGCAGCTCCGTGACAGACTTTGTAGGGCGCAAGGAGAGCCCGTGCCAGGACACGCGTCACCAAAAGTCCCCTGCGAGAAGCAGCAGCTGCCTAAGGGCAGGCTGGGACCGATTGCTGGCCACCCACCGATGCCAAGAGTCCAGACTCAACAGTATTATCCCCATGTGAGTGAGGTGGTCCCCATGAAGTAGGAGCATTCATATATTTCTGTTTCGAATTGATGGTTTTAGTTTGTTGGGCAAGAGACCTGCTCTGACATGATAAAACTAGACAACTTATTGGGTTTTTGTTTGTTTGTTTTGTTTTTTCTTTATTTTTTTTACACCCCAGGAATTCATTGCACAATGAAAAACATAATGTTTTAATAGTTATACTTTTTAGATTCTTGAAGTGGTATTTATTATCTACTTTTTAAAATCATCCTTTTCTTGAATCTGGTCCAACAGAGTGTATTTTAGATATAAATTAGTTTTAAGCTTTCTAGGGAGATTTCTTCTTATTTCTCTGTCACTTAAACTTCCCTTACACACGTGCATCTGTTCTCGAAACTTCTATATGATTCATCTAATGAGCTGTAAGTAAGGTAGCAGGAACAATGTTGTTGGTGATTTGGTTAATTTAAAAAATATTTTTAGAATATAGTCTTTTTTGAGTATTCTTTCCTGAATTATTAGTATAAGTTTACTCTGTCTTTTTTTTTTTTTAAGAGAGTCTCACTTCTGTTCCCCGGGCTAAAGTGTCCTGGCATCAACATAGCTCAACCTCTAACTCCTGGGCTCAAGCGATCCTCCTGCCTCAGCCTCCTGAGTAGCTGGGACTACAGGCGTGGGCCACCATGCCTGGCTAATTTTTTTCTATATATTTTTAGTTTTTAGTTGTCCAGCTAATTCCTTTCTATTGTTTTTTTAGTAGAGACAGGGTCTTGCTCTTGCTCAGGCTGGTCTCGAACTCCTGAGCTCAAACAATCTGCCCGCCTCAGCCTCCCAGAGTGCTAGGATTACAGGCATGAGCCACCTCGCCTGGCCTGTTTACTCTGTCTTCTGTATCTGCACAATAAAGAATATCCAAAATACAGACATTTTTTTGAACAACTTGGATATTAGAGAAAATTGCATGACCAGAGGTTTATGAAGTTGTACGTAATGTTGAATGTGAGAAGAATTAATTTTAATTTAATTAAATTAATTAATTAAATCACCAAATGTTCTTATCATAAAATGTGACCTCTGATTATCTTTTACTATTTCTTATGGAAACTTTTACATTTCCAGACTGGCAGAGAACCTTCATGTCTTCAAATGAAGAGTATTTTTTTCATAAGTAATAAATGGTCTTGATTGATAGCAAAGTTAGCAGGTACTCTGCCAATTTTTAAATAGAACAAATTGCTGATAGAATTGAAAGTATCTTTTTACATTTCATTATAGCAAAAGTAGCTATAAAATCATGAAAACTAAAAAACACTATCAATACTCTTTTGTCTGTTGTACTTTTGGTACTTCATCAGGATAGATTGTATTTGAATAAAACTGGTACTGGTAACTATCTAGAATACTCTTTTAATTTTTTTTTCCATTCATTTGACAAATATTTATTGAGACCCTGCTTATTGAGTGCCTGGCATTGTTCTAGCTGTTGGGGGTAAAATAGATTAAATTTTCTACCCTCGTGGGGATTATACTAGACCTAGAAAGTCTATGACAAGTGAGACGATCAGATGATGGCTAGGACAGCTAGGCGGCAGAGCTGTCAAGCGACTCACCACAGCTTTGAGACACAGGGCTTGGATTTCTCAGCACTGCACGGCTGGGTACGTGCCGGGGTCGGCATTAGGACTCCCAGGCATCTCGTGTTAGTCTAGGCTGTCTCGCCAGGATACTGAAGCAAGGTAAGCTCTACATTGGGAGAAGAGAATGTTTACTCTTTATTTCCTTGGATTTATCTGTCTTTCTGGGAAAAGGCAAAAACACCTCTGGTGTATTTTAAGAAAGACTTATTTCAAGGACAGAAAAACAAATTGAATCATAAATAAAGCAGTGGTTTTCCTGATTAAAGCTTACGATACGCTGAATAAACAAAGACATTGGCTTGTGGTTTTAAAGCAGTGTTGATGGGCAGGGGTAGAAGGATGGACAGATTTAGGAGTTCCACTCCCACCCCGACCAGCACAGCTTTGCTTTTCCCGTTGACCCTTGAACCACATTGGGGGTGAGAGGTGCCCATCGCCAACACCGTTGAAAATCTTCATATAACTTTGGACTTCCCCAAAAGTTAACTCCTGGTAGCTTACTGTTGGTAGGAAGCCTTACTGATAACACGAACAGGTAGTTAACACATATTTTGCATGCTATATGTATTATATGCTATGTTCTTACACTAAAGTGAGCTGGAGAAAAGAAAATGTTACTGAGAAAATCGTGAGGACGAGAAAATGTATTCTATGCTTCATTAAGTCCAAGTGGATCATCGTAAAAGTCGCATCCTCCTTCCTGTTGAGCAGTCTGGGGAGGAAAGGGAGAGGCTGGTCTTGCTGTCTCCAGGGTAGCAGAGTTGGGAGAGGGGAGAGGGGAGACCTCGTGAGAGGCAGGCACACTCTGTGTGACTCGTGTTGAAAACTATTCATGTGGGCCTGTGCCGTTCAAACCCACGCTGTTCAATGGTCAACTATATGTTATGTTGGAGTTTCTACAAAGATTTACTCGAAAGATTTCGATGGCTTAAAAAAAAAAATTGAAAGCCATTAGCCTCCAGGGTAAGCAGCGTGGTATAATATGGAAAACATTGCCCTGGAAATCAGGAGGCCTGAACTCACCAACCAGTGACCCTCAGCAAGCCCCTTCGCTTCTCTGGGCCTTGGTTTTCTCACTGTTAAAGGGTGGGGATTAGGCTGCATGATCTTTAATTTAACTCAGCTTTAATAATCTCTGATTGTGTGATTTTTTTTTTTTTTTTTTAAGCCTCATACGGGACTAGTATGATTTTTGTGGCTCTAATGAAATCCAGGAAAGGGAGCTTACAGCAGTATGTTTGCAGATTAGTAGCAGCATGAATGCTATGAATGCATCAAAAATCATTTTACTTCATTACTTTTTCCCCCTGGAATATTTTCTTTCCTTCCCTACTTATAAGACCTCACTTTTCCTTGAGGCTTGAATGGCATCGTTCTAGTGCTTCGATTTAGCTTTTCCTATCGATTTTTCTCCCGCCTCCCTCCCCCTATTTTGTTATGACTGTGTTTTGGAATCCCAGCTCTGTTGAAAACAATTGCCTGACTGATGTTGTGTTGCTGCTCTTACTTTTTGTTTTGCATCTGGCTGTTAATATCTTTGGATTGTTTGTTTTTGTTTTTGTTTTTTTGTTTTTTGAATGTTTTCATTTTTTATTTTCTGTGATTGGTATTTCTTTGTTCAATTCAGGTTAGAATTGCCCCTACTGTCACTACCTGGAGTAACAAAACTCCTACTGCCCTTCCCAGCCATCCACCTGCAGCCTGTCCCTCTGACCCAAAGGTATATCCTTCATTTATTCCTCTTTGAGCAACACTCTGCTCACCTACACACGCGTAGAGAGAGAGAGAGAGAGGGAGAGAGTGTTGTGTATTCTCTACCCCCATTGCTACCTCCCACCTGCTCGCTGCATTTTAATCCTTTTAGGATGCAAGAAACAGTCTTTAACAGAATCAGTTTATCTCTTTATCCCTCCTCTCCTTTTGCAGTTCTAAATTGACTGGAGCTAGGAAAACTTCAGCCAAAGTTCTGACAGTGGTTTAAATCTGATTTCACTGGAGATTTTTTTTTTCCTTCTTTCTTTCTTTCTTTTTTTTTTGTTAGCATTGCAGAAATGGAAAAGAAACAAAAATACCCTTGATGGCATTTATATTTTTATTTCTAGAGTGTGGAGTAGTGGATGGAAATTAGTAGCGATGGAAAATCCTGGTGACTTATTACGAATATCACTGACTCTATTTTGTGAGGTTGTTGGCATCTTTTGCCACTCATGCAGTCATTGGTTCAGATCTGTCTGATCTGTAAATCATTCCGAACGCGTTGCTCAGAACACGTGGCATCCTTACAAGTCGAACAGGCTCAGTGCAAAGGGGGGGGGGGGGACAAAGCAAGCACGGTGTCCTGAGGAAGAGAGAACATGCGAGATCAATGTTTCTCATGCAAGAAAGTGTCTTTTCAGTAAACATAGAATTCCATTTAAAGATTGTAAGTCCATCTGGTAAGATTCTGGGTTCCAAATGTAATCCTCCCTTTTGCCGTCTTCTCGTTTTTTCCTAGGGAGAAAATCCTCCACCTCCGGGTTTCATAATGCACGGGAACATGAACCCCAGCGCTGCCGCCCAGCGCCCCACCTCTCCGGGTCACATGCACGCCCAGGGGCCGCCTTTCCCACAGCCTCAGCGTAAGCAACGCGCCCCCTCCCCCCGGGTCCTTCCCCAGCAGCGTTTCTTACCTATCCAACACAGTAGCCCTTCACTCTGAGGCCCCAAAGTCACAGTCGCAGCGATTTGGACAAAGTGAGAGCCGTCCTGGGTGGGGCCTCTGAGTCCCTGCCGTACAGAAACAAGGTCCGCCTCAGAGACGCCCCGAATCAACACGCCAGGAAGCAGATCCTGCGTCACTGTGTCCGGAACAGTTGGTTACTGTTCCCGGATCCGTCACCGAGACCCGTTAAACAGAGCCCAACGTCCCATGGTTTCGGTATTTAAAAAAAAAAAAAATAGAATTTTAGAAATGGTTTTGTACATACTCTCTTCCTTTAGGGCGAGATGACACAAACCATTTTTGGGAAAATGGTTTCAAGGGGCATTTGTTGTTGTTGTTTCCTATTTTTATTCATTTATTTATTTATTTAGTAGAGAGGGTTTTTTTTTTTTTGGGCAGTCTTGGGTTCAAGGCGGGATTAAGCAGAAAGTACGGAGAGTGCCCACATGCGTACGACCTCCCCCATAGTTGACATCCTTGACTGCAGGGCCGTGTATTTGTCACAGTCGCCGAAGCTACAGGGCCACCCCTTCGCCACCCAGAGCCTACACCAGTGTGCACGACGCTCCATGTTGCGCATTCTGCGGGTTTTGACAAACGTTTTAGAAAATAGTTGCGCTCAGGCCAGGCACGGTGGCTCACGCCTGTAATCCTAGCACTCTGGGAGGCCGAGGCGGGAGGATCGCTCAAGGTCACGAGTTCAAAACCAGCCTGACCAAGAGCGAGACCCCGTCTCTACTAAAAATAGAAATTAATTGGCCAACTAATTATATATGTATATATATATATAAATATAAATGACCCGGGCATGGTGGCTCATGCCTATAGTCCCCAGCTACTCGGGAGGCTGAGGCAGGAGGATCGCTTGAGCCCAGGAGTTGGAGGTTGCTGTGAGCGAGGCTGACGCCACGGCACTCACTCTAGCCCGAGCAGCGAAAGTGAGACTCTGTCTCAAAAAAAAAAAAAAGAAAATAGTTGCACTTAGAAACTAAAAAAAATCACCACTATTTCAAAATTTACATTAAAAGCAAAAAATAAAACAAAAATCTCAAAGGGGAAAATTGTAAGACTGAACAATTACCGCTAAAACAAAAGGTCATTACCTAGTTAAAAACTAATCTTCATTGAGTGTGTTCTATGCCAAAGTGGGTGTTCTTAGTCCACTTACAGCTGTGCTAAAGCGGACACGTGCAAATTTGATACAGCCTGTCACTCCAGAGCTGAAGCTGCGAATGCCGTCCTCAGAGTACTGTTCTGAAGCAGATACATTTCTACTAGCTTCACTCTGGGGCTTCCCACCTAGCCCTGGCCATGGTGACTGTGACAGCATTAAAATCCCCCTAATCCCCGTTTAGATCTTTGCATTAAAAACACGCCCGATCGATTACTAACCAACTCCAAGTAATATGTGAGATACTGTGGAGTGATCATTATTAGATCGGGGATCGTAGAGTTGACTCTTAATCTGGAACTGTGCTGAGGCTCAGAATTGGAGTAGCTGGGGATTTCACCGGACGCCTGGGAAGATACTGGGTTCGTAGAAGGCGTGCTCGCCCTCCAGTTCCTATGGGGGCGCTGGCTGTCTTGAGCTGCCACCAAACTCCACGGGACTCTTTCTGTTAAGTAGGGGGGTGACTTTCAGCCCCTGGTGGCCACTGTAGTCTTTTCACAGGAACAGGAAAAGTCTCAGAAAAGGGTTGTTCTTGCAGTTCTTGGGTCTGATGATTCAAAGACTTTCATAACCAGCAGTAGTTTGGGGGTGGTGTTTTTCACATGTTGCACCTAATGATTTTATTTAATTAATTAATTAATTTATTTATTTTTATTGATTTATGATAGTGAGTTTATTTTTTTTAATTTTTATTTTTTTCTTTTAGCGTATGATGGGGGTCCAAGTGTTAAGGTTACATATATTGCCCATGCCCCCCCTGCCCCCCTCGAGTAAGGGATCTAATTAATGATTTTAAGTAGATTTAGGGCATCTGAGCCTGAAAAACGTAACATAGGATGAGTGTTAATTTGGGGCTGTAACTTAACTGTGAGAAGAAGAATTATTAAAGTCACTTACGTAGAATGAGATAACTTTTTTTTGTTTTCTGCTGCTATCTGGATAACCGTGTAACTCACGACAATTTCTGTTTCTTCCCCTCGATGCAGCTTGTCAAGCAGCCCAGCAGTACTCCTTCGGAGCAGGGGGGCCAGCCGCGTACCGGCCTCAGCAGCCCGTTGCTCCTCCCGCTTCAAACGCTTACCCTAACACCCCTTACCTGCCTCCTGCTGCCTCCTACCCTGGGCCGTCTCCGCTGTACCAGGCCTCCGCGCCTGCCTCCAGCCCTGCTCCCGCCTTCCCTCCTCCCCCTCCCTCCGGAGGGTCCTTCCAGCACGGCGGGCCCGGAGCTCCGCCGGCGTCCTCAGCTTATGCCCCGCCGCCTGGAACCCCAGGTACACTGCCTGCTGCCGGCGAGCTGCCTGCGTCCCAGAGAACAGGTCTGCGCCCGGAAGGGCTTCCGTTTGCCTCCCTCCTTTATCCTTTCTCGCACAGCCGGGTGGACAGAGGGCTCTTACCTGTGGTTGTCAACTGCATTACGTGAGGCGTCGGTTGGGCTTTGATAACAAATTCCAGGGCTGTTTATAAAAGTGTGATTTCCCCATGGTGAACTTGACCTGCTCAATGAGGAGAGCCTCCGACCCTCAAAGGGGTAATAGCGTATAATCGGCCCATTGAACTTAAACTAAGCGGTAAGAAATTAATTGGCAGGATAACCCGTGGTTGGAATCGGATTGAGTGGGCGTTGGTTTCTTTATTTGAGCAAAGGCATGCTCTGTGTTCTTACTAAGTTTTCAGTTTTTAAAATTATTCACAGCCTAAATTTGTTCATGCAAATTAGGCAGTATAGAGTCTTAAGGAAGCTGAACAGATTCTATGATTATGTTCATTTATAAGGGTCCAGGGTGATCTCGATATGTTTGGCAAAGAAAGAGGGTGAGAAAATACAAGTCTGACAAAGAGAACCTGTAAGACAATAGAAAGAGTGTACAGTAATACAGCGATTCTCCATTAGGCCAGTGCTGTTCTCAGGCATTCAGTAAATTTTTAGACTTTTTTTTTTTGGTCTACTAGTGTATTTGTGCCTGAACATTTCTAATTACTATCATAATTTTATAAATATCTTTATAGTGAAATAATACATTTTATTAATATTTTTGATTGGCATCATAATTGTATACATTTATGGGGTGCAGTGTGATGTTTTGATATATGTATACAATGTGGAATGATTAAATAAAGCTAATTAACAGATCATCACCTCACCCATCATTTTTTATGGTAGTGAAATACACATTTTATAAATTCTTTTTATCGCTCATTTATGTTACAGTATGAGCATTACGTATTACGTTAATTTTTATGAGTAGGTTATGTTGTTTCATTTTCACTCGTGGATAGTAAAAGTGGCCTCAAAAGTCTGTGTTGTAAAAAAAGAATCAATCACCTGGGGTTCAACTGTTTATACATAGAGGTCAAGAATGCAGGCTTGGGAATCAGACTGCCTAGGTTTGTATCTCAGCTTCACTACTTTCTAGCTACGTGATCTTGAGTAAGTTACGTAACTTCTTAAGCATCAGTTTTCTCAGAGAATAAGACACTAGTCCCTACTCATTCAGAGAATTGAATGCATTAACACATTAAAAGACGTTAGGAAGACAATCACTGCCGTTTAAAAAAGCTAGGTGGAATTATAGAAAATCTCTTTAGAACTCTGCATTTTAGCATTTAAAAGCAGTTCTCTTTCTAGTTTATAACTGATGGTTTTAAACTAGAGGGGCAAAAAAGATAAGAGACTTGTTCTGCTAATACTGAAGTTGTTCTGGGGGAATCCAGTATATATTTCCTTCTTTTTATGTGTAAGCAATAACTTAAATTAATAAAAGTACTTAATAAAATAGGATCTATCAGGCCGGGCGCAGTGGCTCATGTCTATAATCCTAACACTATTGGAGGCTGAGGCAGGAGGGTTGCTTGAGCTCAAGAGTTCAAGACCAGTCTGAGCAGGAGTAAGACCCTATCTCTACTAAAAATAGAAATATTAGTCTCTACTAACAATAGAAATATTAGCCGGCATTGTTGACAGCTGTAGTCCCAGCTACTCGGGAGGTTGAGACAAGAGAATCACTTGAGCCCAGGAGTTTGAGGTTGTTGTGAGCTATGATGATGCAACTGCACTCTACCCAGGGCGACAAAGCAAGACCCTGTCTCAAAACAAAGGATCTATCACGGAAGTATTCTTTTCTAATAATATGACTTCATAAATATGGATATAAAATATTTTTAAAATGTTACTACTTTTAAAGTCACATGGATAGTTGATCCCAGAATTACACACACATTTCCTTCCCCTCTACTCTGATATACAATCCTGTGCTGCATAACCATGTTTCAGTCAGTGATGGACCGCATATGTGACAATGGTCTCATAAGATTATAATACATGGCCGGGTGCAGTAGCTCACGCCTGTAATCCCAGCACTCTGGGAGGCCGAGGCAGGAGGATCGCTCGGGGTCAGGAGTTCAAGATCAGCCTGAGCAAGAGCGAGACCCCGTCTCTACTGAAAAATAGAAAGAAATTAATTGGCCAACTAAAAATATATAGAAAAAATTAGCCGGGCATGGTGGCACATGCCTGTAGTCCCAGCTGCTTGGGAGGCTGAGGCAGGAGGATCACTTGAGCCCAGGAGTTGGAGGTTGCTGTGAGCGAGGCTGACGCCACGGCACTCTAGCTCGGTGACAGAGTGAGACTCTGTCTCAAAAAAATAAAAAATAAATAAATAAATAAAAGTATAGCACATGCAGTTAGGTATAGTACATAACACTTGATAATAAGTAGCTATTACTGGTTTTATATTTACTGTACTAGACTTTTAAAAATCATTTTAGAGTATACTCCTACTTTATTTAAACAAAAAAAAAGGTTAATTATTTTTTTATTTCAGCATATTATGGGGGTACAAGTGTTAAGGTCACGTATATTGCCCTTGCCCCCTCCCCCCTCGAGTCAGAGCTTCAAGCGTGCCCATCCCCCAGACGGTGCACGTCTCACTTATCGTGTTTGTATACACCCGTCCCCTCCTCCCCTCCCAGCTGCCTGACGCTGGAAAGAAAGGTTAATTGTTGATCAGCCTCAGGCAGGTCCTTTAGGAGGTATTCCAGAAGGCAGCCTTGTTACCATAGGAGATGACAGCGCCTGTGTGTTACTGTCCCTGAAGTCCTTCCCGTGGGACAAGCTGTGCAGGTGGAAGACAGTGATATTGATGATCCTGACCCTGTGTAGGCCTAGGCTGATGTGTGTGTTTGTGTCTTAGTTTTTAACAAAAAAAGTTGAAAAAGTAAAAAAAGAAATTAATAGAAAAGGAAAATATTTTTGTACAGCTATACAGGGTATGTTTTAAGCTGTTATTACAAAAGAGTCAAAAAGTTAAAATATTAAAGAATTTATAAAGTGAAAAAAGTTACAGTACAATAAGGTTATTATTAAAGAAAGAAAAAATTTTCAAATAGATGCAGTGAAATATAGTGTAGGCTAAGTGTACGGTGTTTATAAAAATCTACAGTCGTGTGCAGTAATGTCCTAGGCCTTCTCATTCACTCACTACTCACCCAGAGCAACTTCCGGTCTTATAAGGTCCATTCATGGCGAGTGCACTTCTTCCGTGCTCAGGTATGCTTAAATACACACATGCCTGCCATTGTGTCACAGTTGCCCGCAGTGTTCAGCACACTAACATGCTGTGCAGGTTTGCACCCTAAGAGATAAACACAGCCCCGTATTTAGTGCGTCCTAAATCACACGCACACGCACGTACTTTATATGCACCACCCTTAACTACACAAATAAAATTTCAGTATTACACTACAGATGCTTGAATAGCTTGACATTTTGGAGAGGAGTGCTAATTCGTTTGTAGAGTTCCAGAAATTACCTTTTTAAAACTTGGCTGAATGAAAGACAGTACCCATTCCGAATAGTTGGATAATAATCAGAGTTCCTGAGTGAAACAGGTAGCGTGGGTTCAAGTATGTCCCCACTTAAAAAGTAAGGGAGGGAATTAACGTTTATTGCTAACGTTGGACAAGTTCGCTTTTGACTTTTGTTCTGTTGCAGCTCATACAGGCTGGTAGCTTCAGGCTTTCGGAAGAGCAGAGGTTAGACTATGCCCGGAAGGTGAGCGCAACCTGTCCGTGATTTAGAGGGCCCCCCCTTTTTTTTTTTTGTTTTTGTTGCCATCAGTAAGAAATTTATGGTTGTTTTTAAAGTCCAAATGCTAGTATTGTCCAAGAAAAAAAAATGAAAAGGTTAATATAGCAGTTATGAGTTGAAAACTCTGAAATTTGTCCCTGCGACATTTGACTCTTAGCATAGAGTCAAAGTCAGGAATGTCTCTTACTTTACACCCTTGAATTTATATTAAAAGCTTCACATAGAAAAAGGAAAAGAAAACTGCCAGACCTAATTTCATATTTTTTTTTTAAACGAGTCTCATCGTCGGCCCGGGCTGAGTGTGTGGCGTCAGCTCGCTCACACTGACCTCAGAACTCCTGGGGCTTCAGCGCGATCCTCCTCCCTCAGCTCCCGGAAAGACCTGGAGCTACAGGATTTTCCCACCTGGCCCGGCTATTTTTTTTTGAGTATATTTTTTTTTGTTAGTTGTCCAGTTGCAGGCTTTCTTTCTATTTTTAGTAGGAAGACGGTGCGTTCTCGCTCTTGCTCAGCTGGTTTGGATCCTGACTTGAGCATCCGCCCGCCTCGGGCTTCTAGCGTTGTAGGATGACAGGCGTGAGCCACCGCGCCCGGCCTAGGACCTTTTCGTCCCCTAATTTCCCAGCAAATCATAGCTTTAGGTACCTTTGGACCCTATGGAAAAAAGAAACCAAAACATCTGACGATCGGAACTACAAAGTATTGAGGAGGAAAAGCATATTTGAGAATGAGTATTAAATGGACCTAAAGTCCTAAAGCGCGGCTGCTCTGCGGATGCTGCACGGCGCTGCGTGTCTTTTAGCGGATGATGGTGACCGTAGGCAGGAGACTCCTCCTCCTCTCCTAGTTTGTTAGTTACCGCCTGGGTGGCCATGGCTGTTCTAAGAGGCCATGGCAAGCACATGTACTGTGCGTTCAGTGGTTCTGGAAACCTTAGTCCTCTTTGTCTCGTCCTGCTTCCCTGTACGCACGGTTTTGGCGTCTCTGTCTGTCTCCCCTCATCTCTCCCTTCCCTTTGCCCACTAGGATGCTGATCGAGTAAAGTCGTCATCCTGCGAAGGCGTGCAGCTCACCAGCCGCGGACGGGACGCGTGGGGGCGCTGCTGGCCGAGAAGTTGAGCCAGTACGCCAGCCTGTGGCGCCAGGCGAGCATCGCCGCCGCCCTGGCGTTTCTGCCGACAACACCAAACCATGTGATGGTGTACTTACTTCCTTTTTTTTTAAACATTT